TTTTTTTTTTTTTTTTTTTTTTTTTTTTTTTTTTTTTTTTTTAAATGAAAGTGAAAATGTGTGTTACTTGTGTGATGATTTGAATGAGAATGGCGGTCATAAACTCACCCTCTGAAACTGTAAGCAAATCCCCCAACTAAGTTCTGTCTTTTATAAGTTGCCCTGATCATGACATCCCTTCACAGCAATAGAAAAGTAACTAAGACAATTTGTATAAACAGAGAAGGAAAATATAAAAGAATACTTTGCCATCTAGGGACTTTTGATGGAACTCAACAGTAAAGCCTGTGCTTAGCATATTTAAAAACCTTGGTTCCATTTCCCTCATAGTGGGGATGGGGAGAGGGGTGATGGGTTGGGGAGGAGGAGTCAGGAAGGAGGAGAGGAGATTTAAAAGAAATAATTTGTTGTAAACATAATGAGACAAGGTCAGATCTGAAATCCCCAAGATATTCAGAATCCCAAGAAAACCACTGAGCTTAAGCAGACCACTCCAGTAAGGTGGTCAATAATTCATAAAGATATAAACACGTGTGCTGGGGAAGCTCAGGTGATAATGTGCTTGCTTAGCCTAAAGGACGTCCTGGGTTCCATCTCCAGTAACATACAAACAAGCATGGCGGTACAGGCCTCCCAAGACTCTGGAGGCAGAGGCTGGAGGATCAGAAGTTCAAGGCCACCCTCGGCAACAGTCAGAGATTCATGAGCACCTGTCTCACAAACCCTCCTGCAAAACATCAATAAACTCCAAGACTCTGAAGCAACAGTACTATATGGGAATATTTTCTCTTGACTATCTTCTATGGACATATAAATATATACATGAAAAAATGTGTATGTGTAGCCCTGGCTGACCCGGAACTTGCTCTGTAGACCAGGCTGGCCTTGAACTCAGAGATTCATCTACCTCTTTCTCCTGCTGGAATTAAAGGCATGTGCCACTACCACTTGGCATTCTATGAATATTTTAGCATGATTGAAATAAGTGAAGCTCCTTTTATATACATATTTCTATCTATAATATCACTATTTTTTTTAGATATTTTAGAAATAACTTCTAGGGGATGTATATTTTATCATGCACAATTTGACTATTCTGACTTGACAATTGCATGGCAGTGTTCATGTTTTTGTTACTTGTTATGCTGTACATCATGTTGCATGTGAATCTTTATCCAAATGCTTAATACATTTTAAAATATTCTCAGAAATATGGATGAATCTATACTAATGCATTGTACTTACTAAAAAATGGATTGTTCAACTATATCTTTCATAGCATTGAGTCATCATTTCATTTGCATGTTTGATTTTCCTGATGATTTTATTAGTTCATATTTATGTTGACAGATGTTTACTTATGCTATTAGTACTAAACCTCGCCCAGAACATATTAAAATACAGTTCTTAATTTCAATATAGTTAATATCTACAAAGGAAAACTACAGGACTCGGTCTGTCCAGACAGATAAACACAGGAAGTTCAAACAGTTAGACATGTTATTGGATTTTGAGCAGAATTCGAAGATGGCCACCCCAAAAATGGAGGAGAAAATTCAGAGACTCCAGAAGCAGCTTAGTGATTTGAAACTGTCAAATAAAAATATGAAAACTCAACTGACAAGAATAAATGTCCTTAAGGTAAGTAAAGGGAGGGGGCTTTCCAACATTCACCTATGATTTGGCTCTTTCTAGTAGTTGCATGTCTCCCAGTGAACTTTTATACTTCTTATTTGTTAGTTCCTTACTAAGTGGCCCAAGGCATGTTCCATCACTCAATAAGCCAATGGAAAGAGCCAAATTAGGGGACTGGAGAAATGGCTCAGTGGTTAAGAACACTGGCTTTTCTTCCAGAGGACTCAGGATCGACGCCAAGCACCCATACGTTGGCTAACAGCCATCTGTAACTCCAGTTCCAGGGGATCCAATCTGACCATCTGCTGACCTCTTCAGGCACTGCATACACAGGGTACATAGGCATATATGCAGGGAAGACACCTATATATGTGAAATTATATATATCTATATCTATATATCTATATAGATATATATATATATATGTATATATACTTAAAGAGACAAATTAATAGTGGAAAGCAAAAAAAAAAAAGATTTATTCAGTTTGGTCACATTGTGAAGAAGGACAGAGATCCAGTGAATGCCCCCAAGTTCATCTTTGGAGTCTTGAAATGAGGTCACAGTTTAGATAGAGTTTAAATACACACATTTAGTTCGAACGTCCCTGATAAAAGTGAGATCCTCTCTACCACTGCCCCATCAGTGTCTGGGCCTCAGTCTCATCCCATAAATTTGTCTGACAAGTTGTTAGAATTTTGTAAATTTTCCTCCTAGCAGACAAGTTTCCCCCTCTGGCTGGTAACTTCTTTCTTCCAGCATGAGGTTTCTTGAGGATCGTTGTTTGAGAAACACAGTGTCTCCTTAGAACAGTTTCATTTCTGTGAGGTCATTTATGGTCTGTGACATGTGCATACACACACATGTGCACACACACAGACAGGAACGCATGCATGAATCACGCACGCACACACACACACACACACACACACACACACACACACAATTACAATGATTTTGTATACATGCAAAACGATATTGAAGCCTCTAACTCAGTGGCTCTTAATCTTCCTAATGCTTCTACCTTTTAACACTTTATGTTGTGGTGACTATAAAATTATTTCATTGTTAGTACATAACTGTGATTTTGCTAGTGTTATTGATTGTAACATATATACCTTGTTTTCTGATGCTCTTAGGCAACTCCTGCGAAAGAGTTGTTTGGACCCCAGAGAGTTTGCAACCACTGCTATAGGATAATAAAACGGGCATCTGTGTAGTCACCAGACAAAATGTTGTTAGCCTGTTGAAACCCATGCATAGCTCACCACTTCACAAAAGTAGCCACTATTCAGACTGTCACAATATAAAGCATTTGCTTTTTGTTTTAGTTTTTAAAGCTTTATTGATGTGTATTTTGACGTGTATGCACCTACATGAGTTTGTGTGTTATGTGCACCCAAATGCCCACTGAGCTCAGAAGAGGGCATTGGATCCCTTGGAACTAGAGTTACAGGAGGTTGTGAATGGCCTGATGTGGGTTATACAAACCAAATCCAGGTCTGCTGTGAGCATTCATAAGGGCTGAGCCATCTGTCCAGCACCTTTTGGTTTTACTGTGGTGTTTGTTCAGAACTTGGTAAGTAGATCAGGCTGGCCTTGATTTTTCAGAATTTGCTACTTACCAAATAGCTTGGGCTGGTCTCGAACTCTGATCTTCCAGCCTCAGCCTGTGAATTGTTGGAGTCACAGTGTGTACACTCAGCTTTTTACCTTATTGGATTAAAGGATTATTTTATTTTTAATTAATTTCTTGGCTATTTTGGGGCCATGTGGCTTTTATACTGTTTCAAGAATTAGTTGTATCTGAAGTCAAATATGCATTAAATAATTGATCGTCTGCTGTGCAGTTTATCAAGGATATTTCTCTGCTGCAGAACCAGTTATTTTCTGTTTTGATATTTGGTTAACATAGAGTATAATATCATTAAGGACTTAGAATATGTGTTAAGCCCCTTTAAATTTCATGTATCCAGTATATAAAATGTCTAAGACAAGGTAGGTTATTATTAATGACTATTAAAGTGAAAAAATAGTCTCTAAATTCAGAAACTGGTAAGATAGGCTTCCCATGTATTTTTATGAAGTTTTTTTTTTATTTTGTTTTTTGTTTGTTTTTTTGGCATGCAAGCCAGGAATGGTATCACAAGCCTTTAATCCCAGCACTAGGGAGGTAGAGGCAGGCAGATCTCTGCAAATTCAAGGCTAGCCTGGTCTACTTACCAAATTCCAGGCCAACCAGGGCTACATCTTGAGACCCTGCCTCAAAACAAAGTTGAGTTATCTAGTCTGTTATTTCCAGATCTAAGCACATTTTTCTCTTTCCTTCCCGTTCCCTTTTATCTTCACACAGGACAAGACAATTGAGAGGCTCAGGCAATCTGTAACAAAAGTTGAAACTGTGAACGAGAGGACAGCTGCCAAAGCAGACAACTTGAAAACCCCATCAGACTCTGCGGAGCAGGCAGCGAGATCAGAGAAGGAGAGGGTCTACCAGATGCCAGCCCGGGGCCCTCCTGAGCACTCCACCACCAGGAGCACACTGAAGGGGGTCTCAGGACGAGAGCAAGAGGTCTCTCACAACTATGTTTTTAACTAATTTCATTGATGTGATCAACACTCACCTCAACTTAGATGTTAGCTGACTTTGATAAAAAGGGATATTTGGCCAATGGCATCAGAGACAGTTTGAACTGCTGAGGCTCTTCCAAGGGCAGATGTGTCTCTAGACACCACGATGAGCACCTAACACCTTCTCTTCTTGGTGTCTGTGTGACAGCCTGTCTGTTTCCCTAGCACCAGTTGTTTCCCATGTGAAAGGAAACATAGCCACTGAGAAACATGTAGTTTTATATTTCGGTTCTGTAACAGGAGCGATAACCCCAAGAGAAGTACTTCTCGGTCAGGTTCAGTCAAGTGCAATCGATCACCTGTGAACTCAACAAGGCTAGGGGCAGGATATATGCTTATTTTAGCTTCAGTTTGTGTACACACAACCTCTAACTAACTAGGATGGTTGAAATATGTAAGATTTTTTGTTTGGTTTTGGTTTTTTGGTTTGTTTTTCCAGATCTGGTTTCTCTGTGTAGCTCTGGCTGTCCTGAAACTCTCTGTAGACCAGACTGGTCTTGAACTCACAGAGATTCTCCTGCCTCTGCCTCCTGAGAGCTGGAATTAAAGGTGTGTGCCACTAGCCAGACAAGACATTTAAAAATTATATTTTATTTTCTTATTTTTAATATATATATATATATATATATATATATATATATATATATGGTGTGGTGTGTGTGTGTGTGTGTGTGTGTGTGTGTGTGTGTGTTTGCCTAAATGTATGTATGTGCACTCTATATGTACCTGTTGTCTTTGGAGGCCAGAAGCAAGTACTGGATCCTCTGGAACTGGAGCTCCAGACAGTTCTGGATGTTGGGAAAAGACTCTGTGTCCTCTGGAAGAGCAGACAGACAGTGCTCTTAACCACTGGTCCATCTCTTCAGCCTCCCTATTTATTTACTTTTTATTTATTGGGTGTTTTGTGTGCACATATGTCTGCATACCACATGTGTGCCTGGTGCCTGAGGAGGCCAGAAGAAGGTGTCAGCTCCCCTGAAACTGGAGTCACGGGTTGCTGTAAGCTTCCATGTGGATGCTTGAAACGAAGTATGGGTCCTCTGCAAGAGCACTATGCCCACTGAGCCATCTCTCCAGTCCACCCTTTAAAATACACTCATACATGTTTCATGTAGGCGCGTTGTACAGTGACGTGGGAAACCCTGCTTTAGGTCTCAGGTTCTGTCTGAGGATATTCTTAGCTGCCTTTGTGTTAGTGGAAACTAGGAGCCTGTTTGTACATCCTAGAAGAACCTCCCTAGTAGCCACAAGGATGTCCAGTCACACACACAGGTGGGCAGCAAATGGCATTCAAGAGGATGAGATAGCTCAGGATAATATGGCTCTGGACCTGCTGCAATATCCTGAGTCTCCACAATCACTAGGTGCTAAACAGTTCAGCATTCTTGTATAATGTTCATATGATGGGAAAAGTTAATCATCCTTGCATAAAACACAGGTGTGACTTTTCCCTGGGGACTTCAGTAAACATATATATATATATTATATATATTATATATATAAACATATATATAATTCTGTGGCACTGGGGATCGAACCCAGGGTCTGGTGGATAGTTTGGGGGCAATTTCTAATCTATGAGTCATATTTGCATATTAGTTGCTTAGAAATCAAACCACTATTATAAGTTGCACTGACAGAAAGTTGTGTAAGCATTTTCTCTTTCCCATTTCCTACTTTTCTGCCTGTCCCTGTTCTAGCTTGCTTTTGCTCTTCTGCATCCCTTTTGTATTTCAGTCACATGTCTTCTCCTCTGGCACACGGCTTCACTTTTCATTTCTGAGGTGATTTCCTGCTGCTATTGCTTGATTTTAGCAATCAGATCTTCCTTGGTCATATGACCTTGGTCCTAGTCATTAGTCAATTCTATTCTGAATACATTTGAGACTTAAAAGGTCCTCCCCATGTCTGCAAATTCTTGTTTAATTGATAATTTCATTTCTGTCAAAGTGCTGTATCCAAACATGGCTCCTGTATCTTATGGCTGTGTTGGTGTGTGTATATGTATGTGTGTGCACGTGCATACACACATGAGTTTGTGTGTGCATGTGTGCACATGTATGTATTCATGTATGCTTGTGTGTACTTGTGTGTGTGTGTGTGTGTGTGTGTGTGTGTGTGTGTGTGTGTGTGTATTGGAGTGCATTTTATCGTCTGAACAAGTTAGACGATACTGTCTTTCCATTTTTGTCCTAAGGTTATTCCATATAACTTGTCATTTATTTTTTCACTGTATTTTTTAAAGCTTACTTTATTCTTAATCACGAGCATGTCTGTGTGAGCATGTGCTGTGTATGTGGAGTGTTTTCAGAGGTCAGAGTCACTGATCAGTCGTAGATGGTTGGTAGTCACCTGGCATGTATGCTGGGACTTGAACTCTGGTCCTCTGGAAGAATGATACGTGCTCTTAACACTGAGTAGTCTCTCCAGCTCCCTATTCACATTAAAATCCTTGTATTTGCCCCAGTCTTTCCATATTTCTGCTTTAGAGCACTTACCAGGTTGCTACTAGAATATATGATTATTTTAGCTGAACACTGCCCTCTTCTGTTGTGAAAGCAAGGTTTTAATTTTCCTTCCTTCCTTCCTTCCTTCCTTCCTTCCTTCCTTCCTTCCTTCCTTCCTTCCTTCCTTCTCTCTCTCCCTTCCTTTCTTCCTTCCTTCTCTCCCTCCCTTCCTCCCTTCCTTCTTTCCTTCTGGTACTGATACTGATGCAGGGCCTTGCAGATGCTAGAAAAGCACACTGCCACTAAGCTCTAAACCCAGCCTGTTAAACTCTTCCTTTTGAGGCAGGGTCTCATTCAGTTGCCTGAGCTGGGCTTGAACTCCTTCTGTAGCCCAGTCAGGCCTTGAACTCCAGCTGGTGTTACAGGTGCAAGTGGTTTCTTGAAGTCTTTTATTTGAAGCTGGAGGGATTATGTGATGTCTCCTTCTGCAATACTCGCTTTTTTGTGTACTCCCTTGGGCCCATTGTTCCTCTTTTCTTCCATCCACCTCTCCTTTGCAAACACCCTGCAGTTTCCCTTAGAGCCCTTGCCTTCTAGAACTGCCATTTCTGGTCTCATAGGCTTCCAAGCCTCTTTCTTTTCATTTCCCACTGCCTAGTGTCCTGCTCCCTGAGGTCTCTCAGGCTTGTTGTCAGTATTGTGTCTGGGGATTAAGGGTGTCTGTGTACCACACCATATCAAATCCATTGCCCTCTGGAGCTGCCTCTGCTGCCTCGGGAAATTCATGTCCCCCTCCCATGCAAAAGGAAAGCTGTGATTTTCCTTCAGTTGGCTTTGTGGGTGTTTTCTATTTGCTGTCCTTGTTGATTTCTTTGCCCTTTGGAGGATGGATGGAGAGATGTGCACTAAGGACTGCTATCATCATTAAGCAATCAGAAGCCCCAAAGGCAGTTTGTCACTCCTAGTGGCACATGCTAAGAGTCTCCAGTTCAGAGACTGAGGCACACAGGTCATTTGAACCCAGGAGTTTTAAGGCTAGGTTGAGTAACACAACAAATACAAAAAGTTAGCTGGTGAGATGGCTCACTGGGTAAGGGTGCTTGCTGCCAACCCTGATGATCTGAGTTCAATCCCTTGGACCCACATGGTAGAAGAAGGAGAACTGACTTCTGAAAAATGCATGCACAAATAAATAAATGAATGTAAAAAGGTAATTACATTATGAATGAAATATAAGTAGTAATAAAATTGGGTTTAATGTACAAAAGTACAAAACGAGAAAAGGAGATAAAAGTGCACAGGAAATTTTAAAGAATTCTTGCAATAGAATGGATTTTTCTAACTTGCTAATACCACGCCACCCAGGCATGGTATGAAGCCTGACTGTAATTGCAGCATGTGGCAGACGGAGAGGGAGAAGGCAGATTCAAGGCTAGCTTAGCTGCACAGCAAGACCCTCTAACCTCCCCCCAACCCACTCCCCGCTCTGTAGATGTCTTGCATTGAAGAAATGTTTCATAAAATTAAATTTCAGTCTGTACCAGTTTCATTGTACACAATGAGTGGTGATTCATGGCAATGACATATTGATTTTCTTGGTGGTTCTTTATAGCTTGCAGACTTTCGAGAAACCATTATGAAGATGCTGGGATTTAACATGAAGACAGCAGACAAGGAAGCCATTAATCAACTGAAGCTTGTCATCCAAGTTTATGAAATCTCCAACAGATCAAAGGCAACTTCGCACTGTGAGACCAGACAGGACAAGTGAGCAAGTTCCTCCTCTACTTGCTGTCAAGAACTTATGTTACAGCTGTTCCTACAGCATCTGGAATATTTATTGTGAATAAAATGCACTTGGGAAAGTTTCACTTAAAATCTCTTCTCTCCTGTGTTTGGTATTTACCTTTACTTTCTGATGACCTTTATTTCTGGCTCAGTCTTTATTGTCAGTGGTGATATATGATACTTATCTATTTTCACTGACTTTATTTTCGGCAGGATATGAATCATAAAGATATTCTTAGCTGAAAAATTTATAATCCTAGTCAACAGCCCATGTCTTGAATGAATAATTTATTGGATAAACACCCCTCCTTAGAAAAGCAGACGATGTTATATTCTTTTAATTGAGTCTTATCTTATTTTCTTAACTGGGCATATGGATTTCAGATATGACAGGTTGAGGGGTAAGAGAATTCTTGTAAATAGACTATTGTATTTATTGTCCTAGTGTTTAATAATTTCCCCAGTGTAGGCCCATTTTCCACTTAATAGTTACTTCACTGGTTTACATTTGTGTTTTGAGAAAGGGTCTTATTCTGTAGCCCAGGCTGGTTTCACACTCACAGCCTTTTTAATTTCTAGAGGTGGCTTAAAAATTTTTTCCCCTTGAGACAGGAACATGCTAAGTAGCTCAGATTGGCCTCAAATTCATGCTCACCCATGATCATACATCCTGAGTGCTGGGATTACATACTGTACCACTATGCCTAGCTTCCTCATAGTCTTGGCTCATGGTCTTCCTTCATTTTTATTATTTTTAAGATTTATTTGTACTTTGATGAGTGTTTTGCCTGCATGTATGTATGTATGTGTGTGCAGTGCCTGGGGAGGTCAGAAGACATCAGATTCTCTGACACTGGAGTTATGGAGAGTGTGATGTAGCCCTGGCTGGTCTGAAATTTGCTATGTAAACCAGGGTGACTTCAAACTCACAGAGATCTTCCTGCCTCTGCCTCCTGAGCACTGGGATTAAAGACATGTGCTACCATGTAATCAGACATTTTCTGTCCCACCAGCCAGCTCCCAAATAACCACACAGAGACTTCTTAATTATGAAAGCTTTGCTGATAGCTTAGGCTTGTTTTTAACTAGCTTTTATAGCTTAAATTAACCCATATTTTAATTAATCTACATTCTACCAGGTGGCTTTTACCTCTATTCCATTTTGTGTGATTGAGTCATTCCATGTCTGGCTGGCTTCTCTGCCCTTCTTCTTCCCAGCATTCTCTGTGCCTGGAAATCCTGACTAACTATTGGGCCATTGATCTCTTTATTAAACCAATCACAGTAACATATTTCCCGGGGTGTAAAGTAATATTCCGCTATGTTTCCTCCTTTTTGTCTAAATAAAAAGGAAAAAGGTTTTAATTCTAACATAGAAATTCTATATTCAATAAGAACAATTATCAAGGAACGATTTATAATATCCAGTTTATTTGTACTTGGCAGATTCCAAGAAAATACTCCATTATTTATCTTATTTTGGTGAGTCCAAAGTTTTGTACTTAATTTACCTTCTGTTACAACTAAAGAAATCTATAACTATCTAGTCTTCAACTCCATCAGAGACCTGGGGGAAGGATATAATATTATCTGATTAAACAGGAAGATCAGAGCAAACAACTTATAAAACTATAGAAATGACAGAAACAGCTGCCTGGACAGTTACCCAAAATTCTTCTCTAATGTTGGGACCTCCATTTTAAGCCTACAGGCCTAGAATATCTGACAGGCTTTTCTGTGAAGGAGGAATTTTGAAGGACTGTCCCACCTTGTCTTAACAAAGTTTGGCAGTCACTTTCTTTTGTGTCCTGCTTCTCCAATTTGGACAGCAGTTGAGGAAAGGGCAGTTTGTTGACCAGTGGCTAACTTTTACCACAAAGAAAGCAAACTTCACATGGAGGTTCTTCAATACCCATCATCTTCTCTGAAGTAGATTGTTGCTGCCAGGTCATGTCTCATTGTCGTGAAAAGCCTCATGTTATTAAAACATTTTAAATACCATATTCTGTAGGTCTTTGAAGTGTCTGAAGACAGCCTATCTACCTAAAGTATATATCTCAGTATGACCTTGGAAACATACCTAACATGACTATAAGTTAGATTGTTATAGGTGACTAACTACTAACCTGTATTTCTTTATTTTCCTAAATAGTTTGCAATACTCCCATGACTAGCTCCTTCTTTCATTTTAAAACCCACCTTTTGTTATGCTACTATTTCTCTGGTTCTCTTATGTGCTTCTCCAATTTCTCATTATCAGAGCCCTTGTCATTACATTGGGACCACGTATACAATCCAGAATTATGCTACAATTTTTACTTTTAACTTCTTTTATTTACAGTGCAGGGGAATCAAACCTAGGGCCCTCATACATACTAGGCAAGGGCTCTACTAATGAACCACATCCCTAGGGCTGATTACCTTATCTAAGGCCAGTTGATTAACAACCTCAATCGTCTTCTGCCTTGGAACTTCATATAGTCAGCTTTAGTGATTGGACATTTTGAAGCCATTATTTAGCATGCAACTAAAATTGAACATGTATATGATTTACGGGCCCACAATTCTACACGTACATATGCAACATATGTATGTACACATTCCATGAAAACGCATTTGTTAGACTTTATGATGACGTCGTTCATAATTGTACCTAGTGCATATTATCCAAATGACCAACCATAGCCTAAGCATGGCTACCAGATCCATCGGTTCAGTTCCCCTTTGGGGATGGACAGGGAGATGTCAACTAGAAAGCTGAATTTTCCCAACTGTAAAAACTAGTGGCTCTAGGGCCAGAAGCAGAGAGGCAGACAACATAGGTTTGAGGAAATAGATCTCCTTCAAAAAGGTAGGGAGATAAACACGGTGAGAAACTCAATGGGTTGTGTTTGGTTCTTGCTGAACACCTGTCACTGAACAGCTTGGGAACCCTGGTCAAGGGCTGGAGCTACTTAGAATCTGAACATTATCTCATAATTAGACAATAAATGTGGCCTGGATCTCTGAGTTTTAATGACGGGGTTGTGGGTAGCTTCAATAACTCTGACAAAACATTTTCTGTACTCACTGGAGTTTATGGTACTAGAAGCACCTGAGCTAGAGGGCAGAGCCCCAAGATGTATTCTACTTCAGCTCTGTTCTTTGGCTGCCAAAGCAGGAGTCATGAGGCTTCAGGGATCACCCAAATTCTCCTCCATCACCTTACTCTGGCCTTCAACTCTTTAAGTGTTCCCTTCCACAAGGAGGGACCCAAAGTCCCTGCCTGCTGGTTCAGAATACCGAAGTTGCCACCTCGGCCTGGGCCACCTTCCTGCCCAGAATTTGCTTTTGGGATGCTACCAAACTTGAAGTCCTACAGCTCTCAACAGTTGAATCAAGCAGGCCTGTACTGGTGCTGGCCATGCTGCGCTTGTGCGCATAGCTGAGGGCCTGACGCCAATCAAGGTGCCGGGGTGGTATCAGGGCGGGGTTGGAGCGGGGCAGAGTTACACTTTGGGAGGTGTGTTGATCTCTGCAGCGGCAGGTGGGTGACTTTGCTGCCTGTTCCCAAGCTAGCTGGTGGCTGCTGGGGCGACATCCTACTGTCTCTCACCGGTTCAGTAAAATTGGGGTCCGGCTCTAAATGTGACGATCTGGGAGGATTTCCAGAACTTTGCAGTTCTGGCAATAGTTCTGCGCATGCTCCGCGTGCAAGCTTACCCTAAAGCTGCACCTGGACTCAACTTTGTAGAGTTAAAATGCATAGCTTTAGTACTTTCACAGTTTCTCACGTAAATTAGTTATCCTCTAGTTTCTTTTTTCATAATTCCCCCGCGCCCCCCGTTGTTGATTTTTGAGCCAGGGTCTAACTATGTAGCCCTGGCTGGCCAGGAACTCACCATGTAGACGAAGCTGGCTTCAAACTCAGAGATTGCTTGCATTTCAAGTATTAAGGTATTAGAGACTGTGCCACCATGCCCATCTCCTTTCTTTTTAAAAAATATTTATAGGGCTGGAGAGATGGCTCAGAGGTTAAGAGCACTGACTGCTCTTCCAGAGGTCCTGAGTTCAATTCCCAGCAACCACATGGTGGCTCACAGCCATTCGTTATGAGATCTGGTGCCCTCTTCTGGTGTGCAGATATGCATGGAAGCAGAATGTTGTATACATAATAAATAAATAAAGTCTTTAAAAAATTTTATATTATCTGTGTATATGTGAGTGTCTGTATGTTTGTATGTGTACCATGTGTGTGCCTGGTGCCTGTGAAGGCCAGAAGAAGGCGCTGAATCACCACGACCTGGACTTACAAGCAACTGTCAACTGCTTTGTGGGTGCTGGGAACTGAACCCTAGTACTCTGTAAGAGCAGCCAGTAGTTACAACTGCTTAGCCATCTCACCAGACCTTCTTTTTTTCTTTTTAAAGATAAATAGGCTAGATGGGCATGGTGGTGCAGGCCTTTAATACCAGCACTTGGGAGGCAGAGGCAGGTAGATCTCTGAGTTTGAGGCCAGTGTGGTCTACAGAGTGAGTTCAAGGACAGCCAAGGCTACACAGAGAAACCCTGTCTCTAAAAACAAGAACAAAACAAAACCAAAACAAACCACAAACAAGCAGAAAGATTAACAGGCCAATAGGTAAGTGCTCCAGAGGATGTGGAGGTCAGAGGATAGATAACTGCTGAAGTCATTTCTCTCCCTCCATTGTGTGGGTTCTGAGAGATAAATTCTGGTAGCCAGCCATTGGCCCCTCCAGCATTTTAACATAATTTTAATTAGTATTATTTACCAACCCCCCTAAACTGATGAGTTTCTGTGATTATTTTGAAATCAACCTGCAAGTTAGTATCCCTTCTCTGTAATTTAGCATCCTTATGCCTTCTAAACATGACTGTTGGTAGACATGGTTTTAGAGAGCCATGAGCAAAAATCTAATATGGAAAGAAAGGACTTCATTTTTCAGGGAAGGGTGTATGAGGAATTTGCAAGAGAATGACCAG